CCCCCCCCCCCCCCCGCCCCGGCCCTCTGAAAGTTGCTTTGCTAGTCTGCACCCTCAGCCTTTCCCCTAACACCAAGCCACTTTGAACCCATGGCTCTGAACCGTCGAACACACACCCTTCAGCCTTGACCCTAAAGCAAAGCCTTCGGCTGAACGCTTACAAACCTTAGGATTTAGGTTTAGGTTTAAGGTTTAGGGCTTCGAGCCCAAACCCTAAACCCGGGGTGCTGTCCCATGAGCCCTAAGCCTAACATGCGACCAGTCGCCACGCAGGTTTGGTTGGAAGCTGCCGACTATCCAGGTGTTCCATGTCGCATTTGCGAACCAGGCGGCCCCCTCATTATTTAGAAACTGATAATGAAAGATAATCAGAATGCCAAGGAGAAGGATAGCACTAGTACACACTAGTATATAGCTTACTATTGGTCTCATTAAGAATAGTAGTCAAAAGAGTCATAGTCATGGCCATAACATATATGATCGCAGTGGAAGCTGTTTGCAGCCGCTTTGGCAATCGAAACATCATTTGCCAAGCATCAGGTCGATAATGCCTGTGACTTCGCGTGCACTTCTGGAACTGCCTGTTAGCATGTTCAGCATGTCCGCTTCAAGCCGCATGTGCATATAAACAGAGTCATACAACTTGCACATCTATCGACCGATCCATCTATCTATACTGCCAGGCCAAGCAGGCAGGCAGGCAGGCAGAGACAGTGCGTACATGCATGCATGCACAGATGCTGACATGTCTTCGTACATACATACACAGTTGCATACAGGTATCTACCCATGTAAAACATCTACAAATCTATACCCACAGCTATGTCTGTATCAGCGTCTATATCTATGTCTAGATCCGTATGTTATATCCATATATATATATACACACACACCTAATAGCTATATAAGATATATAATATCTTATCTCCGATGCTTAATCTCTATTAACCTGTATCTATCATTTAACAGCTAATGTCAAATACCTAATATCTGTATGCAATATACAAATATATATATATATATGTAGGTGATACATACAGATACTAGTATATAGTACATAAGCACAGGTGTTTAGATACACCTACATCTACATCTAGGTTTTCAGATCAAGCTTCGCGTGTGCGATGTGTGCACGCGCTGTCCGTTTCTATGCTTCTTGACATGTAATGGCGTGCGATCTGAAGCTGTCTTTCCGTTCAGTTCTTTCCTACTGGAGCATGTTGAGATCTTGGGTGGGAGGCAGTTTCAGTGCGTGTGCTAGGGTCAACGACACTCAACAAATTCGTGCAATCTCGCATACCTCGCGCCAAACCCAAACATATAAAACTTGGAAACCCATAACCATACCCCTAACCAACACTTAAGCCCAAAACCTTGAACCCTAAAGCATAGCAGACCTTGGTGCCAAATCTGACAGCAGGAGAGCTCCTTGTAGCAGGACCCGGGCTGCTTCTGGCAAGTGCCGATTCCGAGGCCGAACCCAGTGTTTTTGCTGAAGGGTTTAGGGTTCCTGGAGTTTTTTGGGTTTAGGGTGTTAGGGTTCCTTCAAGGGTGAATTTGGGTCTTCACCCAAAATCCTAAACCCAAAACCCCAAACCCTAATCCGTGAAGTTCGAGATTCAAGCGATGTCGTGCTTCGGTTCTTCAATGCTGGGTGCTGGTCGGCTCCTTCGGGCTTGTCAGGACTACAGGCTGTGGGGTTTAGGGTTTAGGGGTTTAGGGCTTGTAAGGGTTTGGGTGATTTACGGTTTAGGCTTAGGCGGTTTATGATTTAGGGCTTAACTCGATATTCCAAACATGCTGCGCCGGTCGCAGCCTTGAGCGCCACTGTTTAGTGCCAACACCTCCATCAACAGAGACCAGCAGCGACAGCAGCACTCCTAGCGTTTAGGGTTTAGGTTGCGACATCCTGGGCGGCAAGACAGACGCGCCGCTAAAGTATCGGAGGTCTCAAAAGGTGGGATAAAGCTCGGTAGAACTAAGGATCCCTTATTATAAGGACTCTTATGTAGGATTACCCCACCCAGCTTCATCCAAGTCCAAATAAAGGCGACCTGAGAAAACAACACGGAGCAAATCCTCGGGGTTTGGGGCTTAGTAGCCGGGCTTAGGGGCTCAGGGT